GTCACAGGAAAACGAGCACGCTGTCTCCAGGGACAGAGCGATATTCACTCCAGTGCCTCCTCACCAAATCCAGCAGTCCAAACAGGGCAGGAGCTGGGGGCAGTCGGGATGGGAGCGACGACCCACACTCTGTGTGATTGTCACAGGGTTAGGTACAAAATGGGGAGCTAACCTGGTCCTCTTTCCTCCAACCTGCTCTTTGAAAACATAAAATGAGGCCTGCCCGCTCCCTTCCCCAGCCAGGCATTGGCGATGCAGCTGGGCGGGGGAAGGCAGCTGCACTCCGGCCAGCTTCTCTCACTCCCTGACTCTCACCATCTGCATCACGGAGAGACGTGGATTGCTGCGCTTCTCTCTGGCCTAATTCTGCTGTCAGCTTGATGGCCATTAAAGTGATGAGACTTGCTGAAGCTTGCAGGGGTCCTGAGGACATTTTCATGGGAGGCCTTCTATCCCTTCCTGCACGTATCAATACTGAGAAGCTCCTCATGCGAAGAGCCCCTCAAATCCTCCTGCCGGGAAACCCAACCCAGCCCGTGCAGGGATGCAGGCTTCAAGCAGCCCTGCTCTCACGCCATCAAACTTCCAGACCTACGGATTTGTCTCCAACAAAAATCCCAGGAAGGGCCTTTCAATCACCGGCTGAATCCCTCCGACTCTGGTGCCGGCTGAGCATTTTCTCCAACTCTAAGTGCGGTAGCTGCCCACAAGGGAAAGAGCTTGTTTTCGCGCGCAGCCTCATCAATACCTAAATCCTGGTGTCCAAGTGACACGGAGATGCCATGATCAATAACTCCCCGGGTGTTTTTTCTTCTGGTCAGATGGCTCAGTACAACTGACAGTCCTGACACCTAGAACATGACGCTAAATCTTTATCTGCTGCCGCCCAGGAGCTGGCAAGACAAGCCGCTGGCTCATCAGTGCTCACGGCGAGTCGCGAATGAACCAACTCCTGGAGAACGCGTTTGTCTAGAAAGCGGTGGGGAGGGCTCACTGCCCAGAACGCTGACCGCCTCTGAAGAGCACTGAGCCAACGCTGGTCGAGGACAAAACTGCGGGAATCGGGCTGAGATTGGGGGGTCATGGGGCAGCGAGGTGGCAAGGCGGATGAAGCACCGGCCCTGGCGTCAGGAGGACCCGAGTTTAAGTCCAGCCTCAGACACATAACACTCAATAGCTGTGTGACCCTGGGCAAGTCACTTCCCCTCAACTGCCTCAAGAAAAAAAAAAAAAGATGGGAGGCTCTGCTCGTTCCGGCTCCTCGATGGGATGCAATGGACAATGGGCCAGCTTTCCCGAACGCATGACAGGCTGCCAAACTCAAAAACAGATCACCGAGTTCAGAAGGGAAGTGACAAAAACAGCCAGTCAAAAACAAATTAAAAAGCCACCCACCACCCAAGTTCCCCATCCTCCTTAGCATCTGTCTCATTGCCCGGCCCTGACTCTGGAAATGCCTGACCTCGGAGAGATGGAAAACACCATGAAAGGAACCAGCGACAGCTCGCGTTTACGGACAAGTCACCTAAGGATGGCGTAAAGCAGCGCCGCTCAGGGAGGCCCCAATCCTCGGCCTCCTCTGAAATGCCCCATTCCTTCCTCCGCCTGGTGCTGCGGGCTCTCGGCATCGGCTAACGTGCCCTCCACATAGGCATGATTGATGCTGGGGCCGCATGGGACACTGGGCTCTTTGTGGCCGGACGGCAACAGAAGCAGGGGCGAGTGGACAGAGCTTCCACACGCCCGCCCTGATGTGGGCGGGGCCGCCGCAGGCACCATCCTTGAGCGACGGCCCAATGGCCCAACGCTCGCCACCTCCCAGGAGGGCCCCGATGCCTTTCTGATCCTCCTCTCCTATTCTAATGAGATTTTTAATTGAACTTCATGGGTGCCCTTGGCAGCCCACAGGCCTCACAAGCAATCTCCATCGCAGTAAACTACTTGGAGGTTTTCTTGCAAAAGGCGAGCCGTCCCCGGCATGTCCTCGGCGTAATTTCCAGCACAGACGGTGCGTGTCTTGGCTGCTGCCGGCACCTTCTCCACCTTCTCATCAAGCTGAAGGTCACTGTATGAATTATGTGAAACAGAGAACCTTGTAGAGAGCCCCCCACCCTGACTGTCCTTTGTACATGGGAGAAGACAGACTCTAGGGGGACAGAAGAAAGGCACCTCCCTGGGTGTGAGTGCCCGGCCTGGCTGGCCTTCTCGACCAGCCGGGCGTCCAGGCCTGGAAGGAAGCTCTCCCTTGCTCTCTGCGTGTTTAAATCATGAGTCCCTTCTAGGACTGGCTCATCTGCCACCTCCTGCAGGAAGCCCTCCAGACCTCTGACTTGTGTTCTCTGCTTCCCTGATCACATGCCTCCTGGTAGGGGACCTGCCTGTCTGCCCATGACCTGTCCCTCACCCCTGGACCTCCAGCAATTGAGGAGCCTGTCCCGCCTCTTCAGAACAGAGTCGGGGCCCCAAACGTTTGCTGACCAGAACAGTCACAGTTTGGCTTTGGGCCGACATCTTGGTTGGAGCCGGGCGTTCCCCTCCAGGCCAGCGCCATCTCTGCCGGTCACCTCCACATCAGCCTGCTTCCGTTGGGGCAGGACACAGCTGCCTGCATGCTACCTCCCCCGTGAGAGGGGAGCTCCTCGAGAAAGGACCATCTTTGCCTTGCTTGGTCTTCCAGGGCTTAGACCTGGCAGTTAGTGAGCACCTACTGTGTGTCCAGCTCCGTTGAGCTGGGCCGACTGGCTGGGGAACAGCCAGTGGAGTGAGGGTCAGGCACAGACGGCCAGCCCACAGTAGGCGCTTGCTTCAGGCTGCGTGACTGGCTGGTCTTAGCACAATCACAGAGCACAGACACTGTGGATGTCCTGCACACAAACTGTGACTGACCGAACAAGAAATAAACACGTTCTTAAGAGACGCGGATGGGGCAGCTAGTTGGCGCAGTGGATAGAGCACCAGGCCTGAAGTCAGGAAGACCTGAGTTCAAAACCAGCCTCAGGCACATAACACTTACTAGCTGTGTGACCTCGGGCAAGTCACTTAACTCCACTGCCTAGCCCCGCCCCCACCCGATGTAGAAAAACTACATTTAAAAAGTGAAGGGCAGCGGCAGCAGTTTCGGGCCCAGGATAGCCCTTTCAGATTTAAATGCAGCCAGAGCTAGTCTAGCTTAGCAAAGGCCTCCAATGATTGGACTATCCCCTGGAAGGATGCTGGCTGGCCTGGGACCCAAAGGGGAAGCGTCCGGTCGCAGCGGCGCTTGGGAAGCCTCAGAAGGAGAATACACCACGTGCGAGCTGCCGTCCTCTTCGGGCTGGGGCTCGGCTGGTGCCACACGACACCCGCTGCCAGAGGAGGTGGACAGACCCTTCCCAAATCTGCGGAAGGGAGCTGCCTGAGCACTCACGAGGTCCCTTCGCTGCTCAGGTGTCACTTCTCCTAACACCATCACAGGCACTTTCCAAGGCAGGACACAAGAGGCGTAGAAGGAAACACATGCCCACCCACCCACAGCAGTTATCTTCACAGGGACCCGGAAAATGAGGGGCCACAAGCAATGGTTTGTCAATACCACAGACTGTACTTGACAACACGGGATATTCTACTAGGGCAGAGAAACCTCCGTGACATGAAGGGGTGCATGGCGACAGTGCCCCCCGACAGGAGAGGCTGCTCAAAGGATCACAATGCATTTCTGTGCAGGCAACGTAACTGCCATCTCCCAGAAACGTAGCCCGTTTTGCCCTCAGGTGCATGGGAGCCCGGCGTCCTGGCAGCACGGTGGAAATGCTGCTTTCTCCCCCATGAGAAGGGATGACAACAGTTCTGAACATGGAGAGCAGACAACTGCAGTCTTTTTTTTTTTTAAAGATCTCTCTGATTTTAGTGACTTCCCATCCGGTCACAGGACCAGGGCGTTTGCTCTTCCTGAAATGACGGTGCTGTTTCATCCTGTCCTAGAGACTTCTGTCTTAGCTTTAGGGAACAACCTTCACTATACGATGGGGTACCCTCGCTGCCCAAGAAAAGCAGAGCTTTCCTGTTCCTGGGTGGTCATCCACTGGCCACAATATAGACAAAAGCCCCACATTTCCTAGGCTGTGACTGGATCCTCTGCACCTTCCACATGATTGCATACATATGCCGCTTTGTGCACCAAAGTGCTGGTCTGCCCCTCCCCACTCCTCCGGCCCCCCGGGACGTGTTTGTGGCCTTAGAGCCCCTCATCCCCTCCATAAGGGTCAGTTACAAGCTACTGGTCCTTTCTGAGTCAGGGAGAGCTGGCCATCAGTGTGCACGGGGAGGAGGAAGGAGAGAAGCCACAGCCACTTCTGCGTGTGCACATATACGCACCTCTATTCACAAACTCTTTATTCATCTGTATTCACTGACTTTACTTTTCTGCAGGGTGTATTCGTAAATGTGCCTTCTGGTTCTCCCATTCACATGAGAACTCACTGCCACCAGGACTGGGCGGTAAAGGGGTGGACAGAGCACTGGGGGGGTGTCAGGAAGCTCCGAGTTCAAAGTCTGCCTCACAAAAGTCACTTTACTTATCTGTGCTTCAGTCTCCTCATCTGTAAAATGGGATTAAAAGATGTAGCCACCTCCCAGGGCTGGGGTGAGGAAAAGCGAACACGTCTAGTGCTCCGCTAAGCAGAATATGCTGTAGAAATGCTAGCTAATCATTATTCTCTGTCCTTGTACCCCCAGTACCGGGCACACAGTCGGTGCCTAATAAAGACATGCTGATCGCCTGATTGGTGGGGAGGAACAAAAGACAGTCCTCCCCCCCCCCGTGACAGGAGGCCTCCCAGACAGCCAGCAGCCAGGGGACGGACACAGTCCCTATGGGGATGAACAGATGGACAGACAGGCACCCTTCTGAACTGACAGCCCAGGACAAAAGAGAAATCCCACAAAAGCATCAGCTGTGCACGCTGAGCACAAAGCCCTCGCGAGCTCCCGGCGCCAGTGTCCAGAAGTGGACGCGTCCTTACCGGGTTGTCCCTCATGGCTCCCCCAACAGCTCGGGCAGCTCCGCTCTTCCCCACCAGGGCTGCAAGCTGCTGGTAGGAAACAGTGTCTCCCAATTTCACCGCTGCCATCAGCTTCCACAACACCTGTCTTCTGAAAGAGTCTGAAAGAGAAAGATGGAGAATGACACCACTCCATCCAATGGATGGATACAGCCACGTTATAAATAGCTGCCCACACCGGCACCCGCGTGGCCGGAAGACTCAAGGGTGCTGAGGATTCCTGGGGCAGAAGCCCACTTTCACTGTGGCAGACCCTGCAGGTGCAGAGAGGCTTCCTCCTTCTTATCTAAGCTCTTCCCCACGCCACGTACGGCTACAAAGTGGGCTTCTCCATTAGGTGGGCATGTAGGAATTAGTGCAAAGTCCAATGAATAGGCAGAGGAAGAGCTGGTTTCTTGCACTCAACCTTTGGTATTACCAGCTAATTTCAAACTTCAGCTGGGACACAGACGGGAAAGAAGCCACCGAGCCGGGGCCAGCATTACCCTGTCTGTCTGCAATAGAGTGCAGATCCCCCGAGTGACTGCTCAGAACATGAGCCATTCTCAGAATACAGGGACTGGCCACGACCTTGGCTCCGGGCACCTTTAATGAACAGGCCTGCCAAAATAAAATAACTTTATTCCCATTTTAATTGCCTACCCACATTAAACTGCATTTGTTCTTCATCTGGCTGAAGCAGTAACAACAATCGCCCTCACCCACAGGTGAGGCACCCAGCTCGCTGAGGACACACCCCTCCCCCCAACCTCCCTGTGGGGTTGGCTTGAATGATACGCCATCGTCCTTCTGGAGTCGTGACCTGGGGCTTCAGGCTGGCTGGAGAGGATGCTGGCTGCCTCGCCCTGAGGTTGGGGACCCAGAGAGCCATCGAGGCCCTGGTTTTCCAGGGGAGGTGGTAACAACAAGAGGCGTGGATCCCTGGGCAATGGCTGAGATGCCACCGATACTCCACTTGGTGCCAAACTTACAAAGCGAGGGCTGTGCTCCGAAAGGGAAGGACCCCACTGTATGTATGTTAAATAACAAAAAATCACTTCTTAACTGGAGAGAACGCTAATCACTTCCCTGGAAAAAAATCTGTTTAGTCTTTATTATAACATTAAGCAAATTAAACATCAGCATAATCCAGGTGATATGAGAACAGGGTCATCAAAGAAATTAACTTTGTTGTTCATCCATTTACATGGATTAGGAGAGGGCACCAGATAGGAAGCGTGCTCTAGTTTTTATGATATAATTTCAAACTGTACACCATTTGTGGCAGGAGGGTGACTGGGGGGTTAATCAGACTGATTTGTCCTTTTAATTGCTTTCTATTCAAAGAAAATTCATTAGATAATGTTCTCTTCAAAATTCATGAATCAATTTAACTGGAGAAAGCACATTACAGAGCGGGTTCATTAGCACATGCAGTTGTGTGCGGGGCTGATTGCTAGGAGGGTTTCCTTAGGCAAACACACACTGTTTACCATTCTTTTCTCCGAAAGGTTCATTTGAAATCAAATTGTTACTTACGATGATTCTTGTGGTGATTGTTGGGGTAAGCCAGGAGGCTCCCAACTTCCTGCACGGTGAGGTTTCAGGGCATTTCTGTCCAGGGGAAAAACAGCCCCCACCCAAAGGCGGAACAATGAGAGAGCCTCGTCCACGCTGGCCAGGGATGGGCGCCAGCTTGCTCCCGCTGCCCGTCAGTTTTGTTTGTGTTTCTCTTGGCAGAGGGAGAGGAGGAGGCGGGTTAGACCCAGCAGGAGAAGGGAGACCTGCAACTTCACAGAATCTGTAGGAATAAAACGAGGGCTCTGTGTGCACGTGGAAACGGGGCGCGGAACCAAACAAGCCACAATGGAAGGCTTCCACAGCACCATCGCTGGAGAGCCTGGCCATCGGGCTGCTCGGGAACGGCGGCCAATTCTGGAGCGCGGACAAGGCTGCACAGTAACACCGCCAGCTCCCCTAGGAGAGCGTGGTATGGAGCAAGCCGCCGGGCAGCTCGGCTACCTTTCATGGGAAGCCATCACGTGCAGTGTGCAGGCCCAGTGACCGTGGCCACGTGGGAGGGAGTGGACGCCTCAATTAACTGAGCGGCTCTAAGAGGCAGCACCCAGCAGGCGGCTGGACCTGTAAGGAAAGGCTGCCCGGCACTGGCTGGGACTGAGGGCAGTGCCAACCTCTGATGCTTTAGAAGTCTGACCCACGCACGAACCCTCACACACGTGCATGGATGTGGACTGTGCTCCCGATCCTCTCGTGACTGTGGCTTCTTCAGTGGAATCACTGTAGGGTGCTCCTCCAGCCTGGGGCCTCTGGACCCGTGCCTGGTCCTGGCCTGCTCTGAGGGCCTCAGTTGGTCTCCGCTGTTTTCTTGAGGACGCTGATACCATCTAAGCCGGCCTTTGGCTGTGAAGCCAGACACCCTCCCCGGGGCCACGAAGGGCAGAGGGGCTGGAAGAGAAGGTCGAGGAAGGGCCCGCTGGGGCAGGGGCTGCTTTGCTTGTCTCGGCATCTTTGTCCCAACTTTTGTTTTTTTGGGGGGAACGTTAGTGATAGGGTTAGTTGCCAAAATCAACTTTTGCAAAGAAACTAAAAGAGGGTCAGAAGAAAGGTCAGGAGGCAGATTTGCAAGGCAGCTCTGAAAACACATGTTGAATGGAGGACGTACTTGAAAAACAAGCAGTTTATACTGGGTCAGCAGCCTCATGGACAATCTGCTTCTTCTGTTTTACTTCGCATACAGAAATGACCATTTTATTTGGTGTTTTTTCATGTCAGTATGAAAAATAATGGGGGGGGGCTTAATGCCTTAAGAGCAAAGACAGCTCCATCTGCGTATCCCCAGAATGCCTGGAGCACACAGTAGGAGCTTAATAAAGGCTTACTGATCAACTAGTTGCTCATGTATCAAACAAGGGTGATGCTACTCAGAGGTGGTAGCAGTGCTGCAAGGGAGAGAACTCAGGCTCCGTGGTCAGGAAGCCCAGGGTTAAGTCGCCATTTGGATACCAGCTGGCCCTGAGACCCTGGGCAAGTCACTGAATGGGCCAGGTGCGCGCCGGGGATTTCTCTAAGATTCTAAGTTTTGGAGCAGGTGCTGGGCTGCACAGGGAGAAGAAGGGATTCCCTAGGCCTCTGAACTTGCCGGACAGTCTTTGAAGGATGCTGCAGATTGAGTTGGGCACACTATCTCTTCCCTTACTCCAAACGCCCCCTTGGACCGCAAGTGCCCAAGACTGCACGTAGCAGAAAGTTCAAATGCAGCCCCTGGGACTGGTCCCTGCTCCCTCCTGCGGTGGGATCCCCCCATGAACCATCCCTGTGCACCTTCATTGCCAACAGCCGCATTGAGGGCCTGCTCCCTTGGAGCCGTCTTCTACTTAAAGCCAAGGGGGATGTGATTAAAGGTTCTGGATGCCATGAATGTGAAATCAACTCTGAGCAGATTTACACAATAATATGACAGCAAAAATCAGGGGTGTGCATGACGTTTCTGACCCACTGGTTGCCATGTGCTTATTACCTTTAACTCAATCCACTCTGGCTTTTCGACAAGTCAGTGGTACCTGCAGACGTTCAGATCAGCTGCACTAAGTGGTGGGAGGAATATTGGGTCACAGGTCACGGAAGGAGGGAGGAAAGGGAGGAGAGAGGGAGGGAGGAAAGGAGGAAGAGAGGGAGGGAGGAAGGAAAGGAGGGAGGAGGGGGGAAAGGAAGGAGAGAGGGAGGGAGGAAGGAAAGAAAGGAGGAGGGGGGAAAGGAAGGAGAGAGGGAGGGAGGGAGGAGGAGAGGAGGGGGGGAAGAGTGGGAGGGCTCCTCAGTGCCTTTGGGATCCACTACAGATGCCTCTGCTGGTCTGTCCAGCCCAATTCTTCCTGGCCTGCACATCCCAGACAAACTTGGCCCACCCACTGCTCTCCTCCACCTCTGGGCAGGCCTGCCCCCTCCCTAGAAGACACTCCCCCCGGCACCTGATCTGCAAAGCCTCCGACTCCCATCCTTCAGGAGGGAAGCTTTTCCTAATGCCCCCATCATCACTGTGTGTGTGAACCTTAGTGGTGAACATGCAGCACCCCCTGGTAGAATGTAGGCTAGTGAATGGGAGGGGCCGCCGGATGCTTCTCTTTGCACCCAAGGCACCTGCAGGAGGCCCGCCCCAATATTCCTGACACTGAGCTTCCCACCCCCTCATCTGGAAGCTATGCCTCTCAATAGAGGCCAAGGGCACTTTAAATTGGGGAGGGGAGCCCATGTCACAGTATGAAAATGGGCAGCTCATGAAAGTCCCCAAACTGTTGTGGACAGACTACTTTTGAATCATGCCTCCCCATCTTGTGCTTGGAAAGCATTTCTGGAGGTCAGGTAAAAGACTTCATATATTCGTGCCTATTAAAATGTATACATAGAGACTTTGGGAACACCACGTGTACAGCCTCGGCCTTGGGGTGCGCACACACACACACACACACACACACACACACACACACAGGTGCATGTGTGTACACGTATGCGTGTGTATAAAAACAAAAGCACATTTATCTGGGTCTCGATCTTTGGCCCTGGTTCTTGAGCCCATCTAGATTTTTTCGGATCCTGAATCAGTCACCCTGTGTGCTCGGGGCAATTTGTCCTGGACCGGCATTGTCTGAATCCTGGACAGCCTGCTGCCCTCTCTGTCTGCCGCCTTTACCCGGGGTGATCTCTGGGGAAAGTCCTTCCAGCGGGAGGCTCCGAGTCTGCCATGGGCATCCCTTGGACGGCCCTCTGGCTGGACTCATGTCTCCCCTGCCCATCCAGAAGCACGAGACTTGACCCCGTGACACTAAAATGGGGAGGTGCACTGCCTCAGTCTGCCAGCTTGGTCTTCAGCCAGAAAAGGGCATGAGGAGAGTGGGGCCTGGCCCGTCCTTGAGCCGGCCCTCCGGCTCCTGGCAAATCCACCAACCATCTCTCTGCTAACACTCTCGAGTTCTCCTAAGAGTCAGGTGAAGTTCACTGGCCCATAGCATGCTGAGTCCACTCACAAAACTCCTCTACCTGGCCAGTACTCCCTTAGGTGATGTCACGGTGCACAGGGCAGTGAGCTGGGAGCCAGGAAGACCCAAGT